CCTACAAGTCCTTCAGTGGCTCACAGGTGCCCATAGGAGAGCCTGAGCTTGGCACTCAAGGCCTTGGGTGAACAGGCCCGGACTTTGTTTTATCACCTGCCACCACTCATTTCCTTGCACCCTCCCCAACCTGTGCTCCAGGGGGCACACACACCCCTGCACCGCCCCCCCCCCATTCTTCTAGACCAGCGGTTCTCAACCTGTGGGTCGCGACCCCTTTGGCGGTCTTACGACCCTTTCACAGGGGTCGCCTAAGACCATCCTGCATATGAGATATTTACATTACTATTCATAACAGTAGCAACATGACAGTTATGAAGTAGCAACGAAAATAATTTTATGGTTGGGTCACAACATGAGGAACTGTATTTAAAGGGCCAGAAGGTTGAGAACCACTGTCTAGACCAGTGATGGTGAACCTCTGACACATTTTTTTTTGGTTGACTTTTCTTTGTTAAATGGAATTTAAATATATAAAATAAATATCAAAAATATAAGTCTTTGTTTTACTATGGTTGCAAATATGTGACACGGCACCAGAGTTAAGTTAGGGGTTTTCAAAATGCTGACACGCCGAGCTCAAAAGGTTCGCCATCACTGGCCTAGACTAAGAACCTCAAAGCACAATGCAAATTGAGCTATATTTCTGTTTTTCTTGGTCCCCCAGCTCCTGGCACCACTCCTGGCACATGGGCTTGATATGTTCAAATAAAGTCCATGTGAGTTATTTGATCTGTTGGAAGAAAGCAGTATTTTGTGGCTCTTTTCCTTCCCATATCCTGGCCCCAAATTGCAATGAGCTGTTTTGAGGGATCACTCAGAGATGGCAGTTAAGGTGCTAACAGTGCGAGTGAGTTAATGTGGGGCGTGTCTGCCTCAGTTTTCAGTATCCGATAGAGATTTTCCTTTGTACCAGGACATTAATTATGTCAAAACACTGGTTTCTAATAGGGATAGAGAACAAATGGGGCAGAGATCAGAACCCAAGGCAGTTTCAAACCAAATTAGGAAATGTTGATCTAAAACCGCTCAACAAAGAGCACGGAGTACAATCATGGAAAATATCAGAACTGCGTTCTGCGTAGCGGGGTATTGTTGAGAGATCTGTCCATCGAAATACTCTTAGTCACAGAGAAAGATTATAAACTGTCTCTCTGTTTTTGTTTTTTTAAACAGGATCAATTTGACAACTTAGAAAAACACACACAGTGGGGAATTGATATTCTTGAGAAATACATCAAATTTGTAAAGGAAAGAACAGAGATTGAACTCCGCTTTGCAAAGCAACTCAGGTAAGTTGATACTGAGAAAGGTTGTTTGTTCGTTAACTGCGCAGTGGCTGTGAGGATAGTTAATATTTTTATTTTGTGGTATGCATGTGTAATCCTTTAAATCATGCTTTTCCCCAACAGTTTAATAGAAACAGTTGTTTTTTAATATAGAAAAGTAATTTTCTTAAAACAGAAGACAAAAACTGAATTACTGCTTTTGGGCTCATTTTATTTTTATTTATGTATTTATTTATTCATTCATTCATTTCTTTTTTTGTTAATCCTCACCTGAGGATATTTTCTCCATAGATTTTTTAAGAGAATGGAGGAAAGAGAGGAGGATGGAAGGAGAAAGGGAGGGAGGGGGAGAGACAGAGAGAGAAAGAGAGACATTGATTGACTGCCTCCCTCATACTCCCGACTGACCAGGGCTAGGGATCCAACCTGTAACCCAGGTACATGCCCTTGACCAGGAACCAAACCCAAGACCCTTTGGTGCATGGGCTTATATTCTAACCACTGAGCAGCATCTGCCAGGGCCCTTTAAAAAAAAAATTTTCCCCCTGAATTTTGGAGCAGCTGATTTTTTCGGAAAACTTTTTATTGAAATAGAACTTACATAGAGAGAGAAGTGCAAAATTCACAAGTCACTCCCCACCGCCCCCGGGAGACCGCACTGACCCCTTCCTGCTCACCACCCTGCCCCCGAGGATGGCCACGCTCCAGACGTCTGACAGCAGCAGGTTTTGTCCTCCCTATATTTTATAATGTTTATTTATTGATTTTGGGGGAGGGGGAGAGAGAAACATCGATTTGTTGTCCTACTTATCTATGCATTCATTGGTTGATTCTTGTGTGTGTCCTGAAACTGGGGATCGAACCCAAAATGTTGGTGTATCGGGACAACGACCTAACCAATTGGGCTGCCCGGCCAGGGCGAGTCTCGCCTGTGTTTGAACCTTGTGTGAGCACCTTCATTTGTTGGCAGCGTTTGTATTTGGCTTCATTGTTCTCCGTTATGTTTGTGAGACTCAGTCACGTTGTTGGATGTGGTGGGAGTCGGTTACTTTCCATTGGTTTCAGTATTTTGGTTGCACAAGTGCCGCAGTCCATCCATCCTTTGCTTGTTTCCTCCTTGGGGATAAAGCAAAGTCCCAGGAGTGGAAGGGTGGGTGGGAGGCTTTGTGATGTTCAGTGTGAGTAGATGGGGCCAGACAATCTTCCAGAATGCTTCTGCTGATGCGCATTCCCCAGCAGCGTGGGAGAGGCCTCAAGGTAGCATTTGAAAAGCAATTTGGACCTCTTACATCTTTAATGATGAAATTACCCAAGAAATGTATGCCTTTATATAAAATGCTGAAAAGTTTTGGTAGAACTAAGCTTGAACTTGAAGTGGCATGCAAATTCTTAAATGATTACTGGTTTGGTTGAGTTGATTTGTGCAGATTGTCAAAGGTCTAGATGACTTGGTTTGGAAATATTCCGTTTAATGCAAAGATAATCTGCACAAGGGGCATGTCACCTGTCACTGAAAGACTGGCTTCTCCCAGGGCTGCGGGTGGGAATAAGCGCCTCAGTGTTACTCCGGGCAGATTTCTATGGATGGCAAGTTTCGTTCCATGGAGGAAATAAAACGTAAGATGTTGCTCAATGAAATAATTTTTACCATTTGCTGACTCCAGATTGGTTCTAGTGCCTGACTGTACATCAGCCTCATTCGTACTTGGAGGCTTTTAGAACCTCAAATAGGAGTAGAGAATGAGCTGCTTCAATTTGGTCATTTGAACGTTGCCTTGTTGGTCATAAAATATTTTCTTTCATATGCAAATGCACCTGCAGTTTTAGGCAAAGTAAGGTCTTGCTGTCTGGCTTTATCTCTGCGTTGTCTTTCTTTTCCTATTATCATAGGCTCCTCTCTGCTGGCGCCTGAATTCCTCTCTCCTTTGGCTTTGGAAGGTAGTTATGGGATGTCATTAGGGATGTCATTAGGTTGGTCCTCACAGGGTTCATCATCATTCTGTCATGAGGGGAGTGCTTTCTTAGTCCCTCTCCTTCCCAGGATGTACCCGCCCCCTTCCCTTTCGCATCACTCTGGGGAGGGAACTGAGTGAGGTGAGGACTCAGGTAACAAAACAGGAGGCTCCCCCCCAATTCCAGGATAGGCTTTGGGTGGAATAGAACAACTCCCCACTGGCCGTGTACCCGCTGCGGGTCACGTTTCACAACCTGAAACAGTATGGGGATTCCAGCTATGATGGTAACTCCGGGGACGCAGTTTTCCTGGGATTTAAATGTTAACATTTGTTTCATTACATCCCTGAGAGGCATCTACATTTGTGCTTGGTGGGAGACGTTGACAAAGAAAGGTTATGAGTAGTTGAATAAATGCTTCAGACAAGTCTTACAGCCGCTGTGCTGAGCTCTCAGCTGGACCCTGCATGCTGATGCCCAATGGCACAATTGATCCCAAGCGACTCTTTCGCAGTTTCTTTTACATCAGCCCCCTGACACCCCCGTCCCATCCCCACCGATTGCGTCCTCCTTCACTGAGAAAACGGAAGAAGTCAGGAGGGACTGTCCTCACCTGCAGGCATCGTCCCTCAGCTCTGACCCTCCACCCCCTGTGCTCCTGTCTAAACCCAGGGCTCCTCTTGGGCACTGGGGCTCCCCACTCTCTGACTGCACAGCTCTGCCCCGGTTCTCCTCGCTCCTCCCTCAGAGCTCTCAGCTCTCCTGGGCTGTTCAAATCGGCCCAGTGCGCCCTCCTGTTTCACTAAAAAAGCCCTGAGTTCACCCGCCCACCAGCTGCCGCCGTGTCTTTGCTTCCTTCCCTTTGCAGCAAAACTTCTCAAGTGTCCTTACTTGCTGCCTTGACAGCTCTCTGCTCACCAGCGCTGCTCCTCAGAGACACCAGTGACCCCATGTTGGTCATGTCGCCTGGCCTCTGTCCTCAGCCTCCGAGACCTCGGCCACTCTGACAGGGTGATGCCCCGCCTCTTCATCGGCGCAGGATCTCTGAGGCCACGCCTTGCAGATGCGCCTCCAGCTGCCTGCCCTCTCTCTGCACTTGCAGATGCGCCTCCCTGCTGCCCTCTCTGCACTCGGAAAGAGGTCACACGAACTCTCTGTTTGGATGTCTGAGACACCTGAAATGCGACATTGGAAACCGAATCTCTCCACGAGAATCTGCATCTCCACAGCCGCGTGCTTAGCCAGAGCCCTAGAGTCATCTTTGGCTCCCGTCTTCCTCTCAGGCTTGCCCGGCTCCCAGCCAGACTGTCAGGAAGTCCCAGTGACACTCCTTCCCATTGATCCAGGATCCCACCACTTCTCATGACCTAGTGCCCAGTGCCTCGGCCTGGATCACTGTCCCCTAACTGGATCCCTTAGTCTACCCTTTCCCCTCCCGTCTGTCTGTCCTCCACAAAGAGCAGGTCATGGCGCTCCTCTGTGCAAAACACCAACACCTCCCCATTTCACTCAGAGGGAACCAGAATCCGCACGGAGGACTCTACAGAACTCTGCGTGATCGTCCCTACCTCTCTGACATCATCTCCTTCCTCTCTCTTCCTGTGACCTCTGCCCTCACCATCTGGCTCCTTGCTGTTTCCTGTGCACACCAGGATGCTTTCTCCCAGGGGCTTGCATTGGCCTTTCCAAGGAGAGGTCCCCTGTATGTCCTTCCCCCAGGATCCAAGTGGCCAGCACCCCATCTCCCCCAGGTCTTTGTTGGGATGTCATCTGCTCAGTGACTGCTGTACTGTTCAGTGTTTCCATAGCACCCATAACTTTCCAGCATTCTATGTAACTTCATCTATTGTATTTGTTGTTCGTGCTCCTTCCCTGCTGGAATGTAAGCCCTCCAGGGCAGGGCTCCGAGTGCGTTCACTCATGTGCCCCACAGTGTGGAACAGTGCCTGCCACCTCAGGGCTCAGTAAGGAGTTGGAGGGAGTGCATCGGCAGGTGTAAGATGAGCTACTTGGTCCGCAGCGCTTCCGGGAGAATTATGTGTTTGCACAGGCCTGTGAGAGCCAGTGAGGGTTTCACCACAAACAGAACAATTAACAAAGTGTCCACAGGGTTCCAGGGGGACTCTAATGAGCGACCCATAGGAAGTGCCTGAGTCTAAGGAGCTCACCTGCTCACTTTGGAATAGAGGCTGCACACAAATACACCGGAAGTGAGTCACTTAAAGATAGCATTTCCTCCCCAAATAGGCAAAGCCAGTGATGCAATAGAGCGTGATGCGGCCGGGTTATGTAGCTGGGCTGGCCAGGGAAAACCCACTGAGACCGAAGGTCGAGGAGGAGGCAGGTGGAGTCGGGGAGTAGCTCTGCTCAGCCGGTGAAGGCCCTGAGGTGGGCCGTGGTCAAGGAACAGAAAGGCCAATGTGACTGGAGCACAGTCAACAAAGAGTTGCTTGAACTACCGTATATGATGTTGAAAAATCCGCATGATCTTTTGGGGGAGACATCATCATTAAATAATTTTTATTTTTTTCTGCATTGGAGGAAAAATGGCCAATTTGTTTTAGACATAGATGATGATGATCGGGACTTCGGCTTCTGTAGGTCAGTGGCTGGCAAGATACACAGCCCTTGGTCAAATCCACCCACTGCCTGGTCTTAAAAATAAAGTTTCATTGGAATACAGCCACATCCATTCAGTTATGTATTGTCTATGGCTGCTTTTGCAAAAAACGATGGTAGTTGAATAGGTGTAACAGAGACCACGTGACCATGACCTATTTGCAAGTCTAAAATATTTACTGATTGGCTCTTTACAGAAAAAGCTTGTTGACCCAGCTAGCGTGATTAAGGGTCCAATTCCTAATAGAATTTAAAAACATCTGTATCCTGTGTAAGAGCACCAACTATTGATTGCCCTTAGCAACTGTTTCTCTTTACTGAAAAAACACAAAAACTAAATTATTTGTTATGACCTGATAGTGAACGCATATGATTAAAAATCCAGAAATGCCAGAGGTACAAAATGGTGTGCAGGGAAGTGTCTCATGTGT